TAGGTAGGTAGGTAGGTAGATAGATAGATAGATAGATAGATAGATAGATAGATAGATAGATAGATACTGAGGAACAAACAGGAAGCTCTGCTGGTATAATAGTGAGCTGAAAACCACAAGGTCAACGGTTTGAATACACCAGCTGCTTCAGAATAGAAAGATGAAGCTGTCAACTCCTGTAAATATTTAAAGTCTTGGACACCCAAAGGGCAATTCTCCTGTGTCCTGTAGAGCTCATATGAGTCAGAATTGACTCAGTGGTGGTGAGGCACAAACACACACAGAGGAACACAGATGCCATGTGAGAATCAACAAGGCACTGATGAATGCTCAGGGACTACCAACAAAAAAAGAATCAATACCAAACCAAGAAAGACAAAATCAATGCATTCATGTCAATGCTGACTCGTAGCGACCCTACTCAGGAGACTCTAATTTGGACTTGAGAAAAAAAAGGTATGCCTCTGAGAAATAGAGTCACCCACTTGTATTTGTGTTGTAGTAGCACTAGGAATCTAAAACCTATGTCAACTGGATATAGAGTCAACCCAGCAGCCACATTCTCAGGAGACAGCTTCTTTTGGTTCCTGACCGATACAGGGTATGTGTAGCTGGCACAGAATGAGGATCAAGGTGCATATGGGTCACCTTGACAGAAAGAAACCTCAGTTTCCTGCCATTCCTGCCAATACTTTATAATATCTAGTCACCCATTCTCAAGGTCATATGTCAACTCACAGCGCATTCTGTACAAGGATGGAACAGCTATACACAGCAGTGCATCACACGTAGGTAGGCAATCTTATCTTTTTACATTAGTAGTCTTAACCCTGTAGTTTCGAAGGATACCATACTTCAAAGTCATTTTCCCTCAATAGTCTGAACCAGACTTTTGTATACCTAAAGCCTAATAGTAAACTTTTATTCACAATAAAATTCCATCAAGTATGTCACTGGTAACTTCCTTAAGCATTGCCCATTTGTTAGAGTAGCTATCTTTCCACACCCAAAACTAGATGTCTAATTAAAATTTCCTCCAAAATTAAGGGCATGAGTCTCCACAGGAAGGGCTGAAAATACTATTATAGTAAACAGAATGTGGGGGTCTTACCTGGTGGTCTATTTTTGTTGCCTAGGCCGTGTCTCAAACATGCAGGTGGCTGTATGACTGCTAGGAATAATGCACCACGTTTATCAACCATCCTGTAGGTGCTGTGTTCATCCGTGAGTGAGCCAGACACACAATACGCTTACACAGTGAAAGTCGTTACTATTGATAGAAAACAAACAATAAGTAAAAACAAGATCCCAAAAGGGAAATGGCTATTCTTCATCAAATTAGCCATGTCCGTTTTCAATGGCCTCATGTGCATGGGAAAGTTGGAGACAGAAGAAGAATCAGTGGGTTTGAATTTTGGTGCTGGAGAATACTGAAAGTAACGTGGACTGCCAAAACACAAACAAACAGCTCTGTCCTGAAAGAAATACAGCCAGTGTACTCCATATAGGCAAGCATGGTGAGACTTCATCTGTGTTAGACAGGGTTCTCAAGAGAGATAAAACCAAATTGCTGATAATTTAATATATTTATTTATAAGGATAATTAGATATATAACAAGGAATGAACTGTTAAATCATATACAGTTAAATATATAATACAAGAAATAAACAGTTAAATTATAAAGCACTACAAATGGCTCAATTCAACTCACTGCCGTGAGAGAGATGTGAGAGACTAGCAGTCCTTCCAGTCCAATCTGCTGCCAGATCTTCCTCTATTTATAGAGAGAGCTAGGCTATGTCAGCACAGCAGCCACTCAGAAGGCAGGTCACCAACTGCCAGCCAGGTCACCAACTGCTAGTCCCCAGCTCCAGCGATGTCTTAAAGGGACCTCAACTTACAGCAACACAGTCCACAGGCTAGGCGTCCCACATGTAGTGTAGCCTTTAAATTGAGGCACAGGACAAGCAAGGCAGCCGCACACTGGTCCGATGATCAAAGAGCGAGAGACAAGAAAGGCGAGACTCACCAAGGCATTTATCTCTCTGCCTTTCAGTTAATCCCACTTGTGTTTATCGGCCAGGCTGGCACAATAAACTATTTCATCATCTTACATACTTTGGCCTTATTGTCAGGAAAGACCAGTCCCTGGAGAAGGACCTCAGGCTTGGTAAAGTAGAGGAGCAGCAAAGGAGAGGAAAGCCCTCAGCAAGATGGATTGACACCATAGCTACAACAATAGGCTCAAGTGTAGAAACAATTGTGAGAATGGTGCAGGACCAGGGAGTGTTTCATTCTGTTGTCCATAGGGTCCCTGTGGGTCAGAACCGGCTCGATGGTACCTAACAACCACATTCTTACATCACATGGTTCAGATCAGATACTGAGCTAGAGGCAATGCTGACTCTGGCTGCCACCAAGCTGCTTCGCGAGCTTGCATGGCCCCAGGGGCCTCTGCTCTGCCGTGGGGACTCTGCAGGGAGGTCCCCACACAGGATTTCCCCAGCCTCTGCTGCTGGGAACTTTTAGGCCCCGGATGCTTGCTCTTGCCACCCTACCACAGGGCATGCTCAGGCCTCTTTGCCCTTTATAGGCAAGTGTTACAGCTCTTTGAGTTTTATTGAAAGTGTTCAAAAGTACCCAGCTCTGCAGGCATGCTGCCTGCCCAAAATTGCTCGGCTCTCTCTATACATTGGCTAGCCAGCTTACCATCTCTCTGTCTAGAGTGTTATAGGTCTTTCTTCTGGGTCTATGAGGTTCTCAGAGCAGGCACTCTTGGTCTGAATAACACACTCCGCTCTAGACTCTTGTTTGTGGTAGTGAGCTACCGCTGAACCTCTGTGGGACTGATGCTTATAGTCAAACTCCGTTTCAATTCCAAGGCATGGCCTTCTGTGTTAGGCCAGGTTGACTTAAGAAACAAACCAGTGACACTCATATATGTGTGCAAAAGAGCTTTATATCAAGAAGTAGTTATTCATTAGGGAAACAGTCCAGCCCAATGTAGATCAAGTCACAAGTCCAATACTAGTCCATAAATCCCTCTTCAGACTCATGCAGCCACAAGCAAGGATGCAAAATGCAGGGAGATCACAGGCCAGTGGGTGAAAGTCTTGTGGATCAAATGGCAGTAGAAGCATCACATGGCTAGTGAAGGTCTCAGTGTGACGCGTCAACAGGAAGGTGAGGGCAAAGAGAGAATGGCCCACCTCCAGGGAGCCAGTTATCTCAGCAGCACCTCCAAATGAGGTTATCAAGCTCTGACCTGATTGACAGGCTAAACTCCACCCATATCTTCTCACCTGTTTGACACACACAAAAAACTCACTATCACAACCTCCCAGGAGGACTACGACATGACCAATTACTTAGTGAACCACAAGTCACTTTTTTATGGATTTTCAAACACCACTTACATAATTTGCTCAATTTCTTACAAGATGAGAAGGAACCCTGGTAGTGTAGTGGGTTACCAGTTGGGCTGCTTCCCATAAGGTCAACAGTTCAAGACCTCTGGTTGTGCCTTGGGGGGAAGATGAAGCTTTCAACTCCCATAAAAGTTTGGAATCTCAGAAATCGAGGGAAAGTTTCTACCCTTCCCCATATAGTCACTATGAGTCAAAATAGATTCAATGGCAGTGGGTTACAAGATGGTGACACAGCCAATCATTTTGTGGGAGATGCAAGGCAATCGCTAGAAAGGCTATCTAGAAAACCATTAAAAAATTGTTTTTGTCAGTGCAGTGCAGGATAAATCTGTTTCTACACCACCAGTAAAAGCAGAAAAACAAATTTCATTTTACATGGTTCTCACAAGAATTGAACATAAGTATTGGTTATGCATTTAGAACAGTGCCTACATACATTAATAATAAGTGGTGGGGAAACAATTCAATGACAGTGTTTGCATCAAATGGTTTCTCTTTTTCATATTGTCCACTTGATCTGTGTTGGTTGGGTGTTAATAATAAGGGAGTCCAATTGTCATGTCTTTTATGACTTCCCACAGAGGATCCTGGGAACCAAGGTTTCCAGACTAGTCAGTTTAAACTGAAGAAAGCCCTTGCATTCTTACTGGGAAAGCATCTAGGACTTAGAAGAGCTAAGCTCAGGAACCAATTAATATTAGCCCCAGGCCCATTGCGGGCTTTCAGTTCTAAGTAAAAATTCCATGTTTAGTTGAATCCAAGGGAGTAGATAGGAGTCCTAAGAGGAATGGTGGTGTTAGAGTTCATTACTGTCAAATTGGCCCAGATTCATCATAACCCCATGCTAACCTCAAATAATTGCTACCCAATCCATCCGAATGATTGGTCATGGATCAAACCACTGTGATCCATAAGGGTTTTGTTTGCCGGTTTTCCAAAGGAGATCACCAGCCCTTTCTTCCTACTCAATCTTACTCTTGAAACTCCCCTGAAACCTTTTCCGCATCGGAGCAACACACAGTCTCCTATGGCAGAGAGCAGGTGGCTGCGGTGGAGGTACCTTGAGAATCTCACCGTGGAAGCCCATGTGGGAGATGAGAGTTCCACAACTGCCCTGTATCAGAGAAGTGAACCTTCCTAAACACCCAACTCACAGCATTGCCACGATTAGAAAACCCCGATCAATAATTAGCTTTCCTGCTGAATTTTTCAATGAAATACAGCCCAAATACAAGCAGCTGCCTAATCAGAAGTCCCTTTGATTGGCGAGTGTGTGGACAGTGGCTCTTCTCTTTCTTTTCATGCTCGCTTTGGAATTAGCGCTGCATCTTAATGTGCCCCAGACAACTCGCGTGACTTCAGCGCCCTGGGATCGCGTAGTCTTGCTCCAGCAGGTTCTCAAATGCAGAACGCAGCAAAGTCAGACATGTGATCTCCATCTCATAACTTTATTGTACAGAGGCAGAAACAGAGCAGTTAAGTAAAGGACCCAGGACCACATGCAGGGAGCAATCAAGCCACAATCTCCTGAGTCTGCCTACATGCTTGTCATATTTGGCCTTGGTCTATAGCCCCTGCCCTTCCTGCTGTCCTCTGTTACAGACTTGTTACGCAAGGACAACTGAATTGTTATGTCTTACTTGTTCCTTATCCATATCCATGTGGAATTTGAGGTGAATTCACTGAGTAAAATGACCTTGAGGTTTAATCTGACAAAACTATGGCTTTACCAAACAAACATGAAGCCCCAGGATGCTCAACGCGATACAGGTTTTTGAAGAGCAGATATAAAGCAATGCTTCTTCTCCTAGCCTGTCCTTGGTTTAGAATTGACACTTGGCAAAAGATTTTATCACAGTGGGGTTTGAAGTGTTCTCCTGGTGCCTGTCCCCTGGTGACCCAGCAAAGAAATCTGACTCTCTTGTGTCCCCCTTTCTTTTAGTGCGCTGCTTCCTGTGGAAGTGGGATTCAGAAGAGGACCGTCCACTGTGTCTCTTCAGAGGACAACGAAACTGAAGACCACGGCCAGTGCTTGTGTGATCACCAACCTAAACCTCCAGAATTCCAAAAATGTAACCAGCAAGCTTGCAGGAAGAATACTGGTGAGTGAGGGCCTTGCTCACTTGGGGTGAAGAAACTTTTCACAAATAAGACCTTCCCCATGACTCAACCAGCGCTAAAGAGAGCAGTCAGATTTCCTGGGAGCAAGTCCTCAAATACACCTTTCGGCTTATAGTCGATTCTAATCCCCGAAGGCAATGGTTCTCAACCTTCCTAATGCCGCGACCCTTCAAGACAGTTCCTCATGTTGTGGTGACCCCCCAACCATAAAATTATTTTTGTTGCTACTTCATAACTGTCATTTTGCTACTGTTATGAATCAGGCATAGGTTGAGAACTGCTGCCCTAAGAAATTAGGGAGCCCTGGTGACATAGTTGGTCACACATTGGATCTGCAGGTAAAATCCACCAACTATTCCATGGGAGAAAGATGAGGCGTTCTATTCCTGTAAAGATTCATAGTCTCAGAAACCCAAAGGGGCACTTCTATTCTGTCCTATACGGTCCCTAGGCGTCAGCATCAGCTTGATGATGGTGAGTTTGGCTGGTTCCCCCAGTTTCCCACCTCTAAGCACATTCATGCTGATGTCTTGATGTCATGCTAGTTCTTCAAGGATTTCTGAGGGATTCTCTAGCCTTTCTTAGGAACCCAGTCAAGATAGAATGGTCAAACTACATCAATTAGCTTTGGTTTTTACCCTCAGTGAATACCAAAAAAAGAGCAAAATACAGAATCCCTTCCATTCATTCCCAGTACAATGAGAAATATGAACCTGCTTCTAGAATCTTAAAAATACTTAGCACATCTAAATTGTGTCCTTCACTTTTAGCAAAAGTTCTTTGATTTTTTTAATTTTTATTTTAAAATATAACCTTTTTTTATTTTGTATTGAAAAAGTTTGTATTTAGCCCTCTGGGCTCAGTTTAGAGGATTCCAATTTTGTGGTCAACATCTAAAGTGTTTTAGCCAGGAGCCAGTCAAACATATGCCTTCTCACCATCAGACCCAGTCAGGGTGTTGACCTTGGCTATGTCAAAGTCCTAGAGCTTCTTCACAGCCTGTTTGATCTAGTGTTTGTTGACCTTGTCATCTGCAGTGAGCACAAGTGTGTTGTTATCGTCCATCTTCTTCATGGCAGACTCCATGGCCAGGGGGATCTCATGATGGCATAGTGGGCCAGCGTTTTGCTCCAGGGTGCTCTTCCCAGGGCATTTGGGCTGCCTTCTTAACCTCAGCATCTTGGCCTTTGGAAGGTATTTTTGTGGCATTGGACTGCTTACAGAATGACCTTCTTGGCCTTTCATGCCTTTGCTTTGGCTTCTGTTTTGAAGGGGCTGGGGCTTCCTTCTTTGCCTTCGGTGCCATCTTCAAAATAAAAATTTTAAAAAATCGAATCTAACCTATTTTTGGAGTATAATCTAAGTATAACAAATTACTTTGGGCATAGAATTACCGAAGTACTAAAAATTTAAAACATGCTAGTGGTGTGTTGAGTTAAGCACTGAACTGCTATGCACGATGAACAGCCCAGTGAGAATGAGGTAGTGTCTCCTGTAACAATTTAAAGTCCTGAATCCCTGAGAAGAAGCTTTATTCTCTACTACAGGGTTGCTATGAATAGGATCAACTCGTCAGCAGTGAGGTTTTTTGTTTCCATAGTGGGGGTGAGAGTAGGAGGATTTTAATGGCACAAATAGTAAAGTGGTTGGTTGCTAACCAAAAGGTTGTCAGTTGAACCCATCCATTGCCTCCACAGGAGAGAGACCTGGTGATCTACTCCCTTACGCATTATAGCCTGATGGGACAGTTCTATTGGATCACCTGGGGTCACTATAAAGCGAACACCGCCAACAATTAAAATTTTTAAAAGCATACAAGTTAAAATAAGCATGAATAATATCCTATACTATTTTTAAACATCTTCCTTAATTCTTAAACATGGGGCTTTGTCAGAAAAAGTGATAAATTTAGTGCTTAAAAAGATCTAAGTACCAAATCTTCATTTCAACAATATTGGGGATGACACACAGCAACTCCTGTACATTTGTGCCAGGTATGTTCTAAGCATTTTATGTCTATTGACACACTTCACCCTTACAACAATGCTTTGACGTTATTTGTCATTGTTATCAAATGGTTCCTTATGTAATTTACCTTCTAAGTCATAGGATTAGTGAATTTCAACCCATGGGACAAATCCAATCTGATCATGATTTTGTATAGCCCAAGAACACAGCCATGGTCATTTCTTTACATATTATCTATGAAGAAAGTTAAAACAAATCCATGAGAGCTAAGATATGACCTTGAGTATATTCTACCTGAATTTTGAGAACATCTCAAGAATATATTTGAGTCAGTGAACAATTTTGACAAAGATCAAATGAACTGTGGGAGAATGTCAAAAACAGCATACATAAAGAAAGCAAATGAGTATTGAAAAGACAAGAAAGAAATAGAAGATCAACGTGTATGTCAGAAGAGACTCTGAAAATTGCTCTTGGCCATAGAGAAGCTAAAGGAGATGGAAGAAATGATGAAACAAAAGAGTTGAACAGAAAATTCCAAATGGCAGCTCAAGAAGACAAGAAAACTATCTTTTTAAATACTTTTATTGGGGGCTTTTACATCGCTTATCATAGTTCATACATTCATCCAGTGTGTCAAGCACATTTGCACATATGCTGCCATCATTTTATTTTTTTTAAATCATTTTCTTAGGGGCTCATACAACTCTTATCACAATCCATACATCCATCCATTGTGTCAAGCACATTTGTACATAAGTTGCCATCATCATTCTCAAAACATTTGCTTTCT